TGTCCTCACCTGCACCCTTCCCTCGCTGCTCCAACAAGGCCTATTCTACAATATTCTACAACACGAATGGGCGTTCTCCAGCTTCGTCCAGTGTTTGCTCTGCCATCTGGCTTCTTTTGCTCACTAGGTTTCTGAGATTCGTCTGGGCTGTGTGCATCAGTATCATCTTCCTGTTTATTTTCTTGTTTGTTTCTTTTTTCAGTCTCTTACCCTGTTACGGATCCCTGGGCTGTTTCCAGGCTTGGGCTTCGTTGAGTAGCCTTGAATGAGTTACTTTTGTGACGAAACAGCTTTGTTTCTCTGGGGTAGTATTTTGTCCTGGAGATGTTCATCTATATTGGTACAAAAGTGCCGGGCTGGGTCTTCAAGGGGATTGTGTAATTCTGTCATCCTTCCAACATGGGAATATTCTAAGTTTATGTCCTTGATGGTTTCTTCTTCGCCATTCTGGTGGGGAAGGAGGGGATAAGTTCTTTCTTTAGATGTAGAAAATCATTTATTCAAGGACTTGATGACGATTCATAAAGTCAATGGAAATCCCTGAAAATGTGAAAAAATATTAAATTCAATATCATTGAAACTTACCCATCTTCATGAGTCTGGGATTTTTGTCCCTTGTAGGATAATCTAAGAGTGTCACAAGCCCTTTCTACTCACAACTTCTTTTTATCCAAGATAGACCCACAAAATAGGTATATAAGCCAAACACTTACCCATAATAAGTCATACAGAGAAGTTAGTATTTGCATACTGTTCATATGTATTAAACAACAACAAATTTGCATACTACTTGTATTTACTTTTACATAAAGGACTCGGTGTTGACTGAGCATTTGATATGCAGTACACATCCCTTTCTGTGTTTTCCAGGGTTGATCAATATTTTTATTTTATGGCCATCAATGTTGAGAATACCAATTCACAAAAATACATAGTACAAAATGGTAGAAGTAAGCTTGAGACCTTTTCAGAAGTTATCGGATATCCCGTCCTAATTCAAACCAGAATTCATGAAGATTTGCTAAGACTTGAGTATGTTACTCTAACCTCAGGGAGAATTGGCCTGCTATTAAGTGAGAACATCTTGAACTAGAAAGAGTAAGAAGAGAAAGGCCCATGCCATCCTGATCTCAGCTGATTTTGCTACAAGACAATAAAATCATTGATGTTTTACTCACTTCAGAATTCAAACATCCTGACAGAATACAGGCCAAAGGTAACATGTTGAGGATCAATGGTAGGAAAATAGTAATTTTTTAAATTAATGTTTTCATTAGAGCAGGAAAAAAAAACCCAACCCATAGAATACACCAGCCTGGAATCTGAGCTGAGGTATGGCATGCGGCTTTGTTGGCACCACCTGGTTGGCAGTATGAGCCGCACAAACTGCACAAGTTGCTGTTCTGACCCTAGGTGTCAGTGAAGTCACATGATGCAGTACAAGTGAGTACTGCTGGGAACACCTGGATTTATTATGTGCTGACTTTGAATTAATTTTGTGCATTCAGAAAGCTTTTATTATTGTCAAACATTTAATGCTCCTCATGTTCCCATGACCCATATGCTCATATGCAATTGTGACCCACAGTTTAAAATGTGTGGGTCTAAGTGAACCTAAATGGCTTTCACACCACAATAAATTGAGAGTATAAATTGTAAAGGAATATTCTTTCAAAAACAAATGACCCTGAAATCACATACACACACAAAGACAGAGGCAGAGAGAGACAGAAGAACGGGGAGAGAGAGAGAGAGAGAATAGTGTTTTTAGAGTTAAGCTTAATTAGAGGCAGCAGGTGTGGGGAGTGTAGCTCCAGGACAGAGAGCTTGCCCTTCATGCCCAAGAACCTGAAATTATGCTAGGATCATGAGAAATGGAAGAACTAGCCAGAAAGGCAGAAAGGGTAGATCAAGTGAAGTTGAACAAAATCAGGCATTAGTAAATAAAGGGTTTAAGTACAGGGGAGCAAATTTTGTGGAAACCTATGATATTTTAATTAAAGATTTAAAATTATAATTGCACCTTTATAAGCACACACACATGCACATGCACGTGTGTGCACACATACACAGCCTCAAAGACTTGCTGGAAAACCACAGCTCTGAGCTCTGCCAGATTCGCAGACCAAGGACAGTAGACGGCACTGCAGAAACCATTGCTTTCGAAGCCTGTGGCTGCAGCAGTAGCACCTGTTGTCACCATCCCCAGCCATTCCTGCACAGGAACACACTACATTTCAAGCTGGAGACCCTCTGTGCCCTAGAGAAATGACAACTCTGAGGATGGGAATCCCAATCTTGCTGAAGTACACACATGGCAAAGTTCATACCTTCCCAGAATTCTGGGGAAAGGCTGTTTGGGCCGTAAGGTAGTTCCAGGGCGTAGGACAACACATTTGAGACCTGTGAATGAAGAGCCATGTAATGAAGGCAATTGGCTACCAACCTAGAGAAACCATGATTAACAGTTCTGTGTACTACATGTGTGGCGACCAAACTTTAAACCTCAGTTTCCCTGCTCTGCACGTCCAAGGGGAATGGTTGCTTCTCCTCCTGTCTGTAATGATGCAACTGTTAGCAGAAAGCTGCCCACCCTGGCTAACATGATAAATGGCCATTGTCATGGTACGGAGTTTATCCGTCTCTCTGCCCTCAGGTCCTCAAGCCCCTGCACCTCTCTTCTGGACCCATCAAAGATTAAGGAGCTACCCTTCCTTGCTTGTAATCTCCCAAAGTTCCACTAAGGACTGTGAAGAAAATCACTTTGGAATAATTCCTGCTGAGTTAGAAACATTGATTCTTGTTCTGCATGGGGATTTTGTCATCCATGAGAATCCTGTAAAATGAGGGTTCTCAGACGAGGCATGTAGCTAGACCATCAGTCAGAGGACTTACATGAAGAGCCCCAGCTTGCTGGGACGTGAGGAGAGCCCAGCTGTCCTCTGTGGAAAGCATTGTGAAGTGGGATCCACACATAGCACCCTGGTGTAGAGGCTGACCCTACACCAGGTTGTGAAGATGGAGGACCTGTGGCCTCTGCTGCTGACAGTGGGCACAGAACCCCCCAGGGGCCAGTGTGCTAAAGTGGAGGTAGCAAGTTCAGCTCAAAGCACCAAGTGTAACGCTGTCTGTAGAAAAAGATGGGCCAGCGCCCTCCCGGCCAATGGAATTGTGCCTCTGCTCTCTCCCCTCCCTGGTCCACACCGTCCCACCCCTGTCAGTGGCTGGGACACATTTTTAATCCTAAACCAGGACTGAGCTGATGCCACTCCAGACAGAACACAAGGCCCACAGTATAGGTCATGGGAGCCATACTGATGGCTTGTGAGCCTTTGAGAAATGAGAAAAGGGAACCTGGGGTGTTTATTACTCTTTTTGTTCTTCATAATATGGGAAGCCATGGGTTTTGCTCCTAGAGGCATATGTATTTTGGTTAAAAACAAAAGCTTTTAAGTGAAAGCTGATTAAGGAGAAAGAATGAAGCAATAATTTTATTCATATTGGATATATGAAAATATGCGTTGAGCTTGGTGGCTTTGTAGAACATGGTCTTTATTCCTGGAGGAAAAGATGAAATGATGTTCATTGAAGAAATAATAAAAGGTACCATAATTATGGGGTGAGAGCCAATAGCTGTGACTAAATGACCAAGCTATCACAGGCGAGTCATAGATTCTGTATTGACGTTTTGTGGGGATGTATAATGGACCAAGCAGAAGGGTTTTGCAGGAAGCCTCATTTTAACACCTGTTTTGCCTGGCTATTTTCGTGTGTTTGTGTACATGTTTATGTGGGTGTGTGCACATGTGCATACAGACTCAAACATGGGTGCCTGTGGAGGCCAGAAGTGGTTTTGAGTGTCTTCCTGGGTCACTCTCTACCTTATTTTTTGCGAAAGGGTGTTTTGCTGAGTCTGGAGCACATGGATTCAGCTAGGCTGGCTGGCCGATGGGCTACAGGAATCTGCGTCTCTCTGCTCCACAGTCCTGGAATTTCAGATTTACATCACCACACCTTGATTTTTATATGGATCCTAGATATCTGAACTCAGGGCTTCTGTGGCAAGCACTTTACCAACTGAACCAACTCTCCACCCCCTCCCTGGCTTTTCATCAATGGTTCAATGAAGCCTGGGACATTTTAGCTGTGTCTGACATAGGGAGCTTTCCAGACAGTACAGTGGATGCTAAGTCAAGCTAGGCTTCCTTGGCTGACAGTCCCCCACATTTGCCTGTCTTGTTAAAACTTAAGCTTGCCTCTTCATTGAGTGCTGCACAGGTTTGATGGCCTGAGCCCTGGATGGAAGCAGATGGAGTCAGTGGGACTCTAAGTGCAAATGACAATGTGCCCGCCAGCAGTGCCCTAGTCGATTGCAAATGCAAGAGATGCAGAGTCCGCGAAAGGCATGCGTAGTCTTTCTAGTGTTGATGACTTCATTGGGTCATTTGAGTGATGTCTATTGAACATTTGCACCAGATCATTAGCTTGAGACAAACCCGATAATGAGAAAGAACGAGGTGCAAAATGGCAGCTAAAGTTCAGGTCCATCAATTGACTGTGCCAGCAACTGAGGAACATTTAGGATTGGTTCTAAAAACAGAAATTTTAGATTTAACCCCGACTTTGTATTTCAGAAAGCAAATATGACCTGTCTAAAACTAACAGGTTGCATATTGGCCTATTAAAATCTGACTTGAGTCCTGGCCTTTGTCATTCTGTATTTCTGCAGACTGTGTCACGATGGATGAGTTAGCCTAGCAGATTTAGGTCTGCCTGGAGAGTCCCTCTTTGGTCCCTTTCCTGCTCTTAGACTCCTGATGAGTGTCTGAAAGCAATCAAATATTTGTGGTCTTACACTCGGTGTGTGTCGCTCATCTCTCCATGCAATCTGTGTAACACCTTGCTTTCTGGGCGTGGTCAGAGCCTTGTAACTAAGTTGCGGAGTTCGACAAATGACATACAATCTCTCTCTCTTTCACCAAACTTCGGAACGACTCTAGATTCACAGGATTCATCGTGATTCCGGGGATAACTCTCAAACAGGTAAGAGCTCTGACTTCTCAGCTGAGGGGATTCCTTGATGACCCAGTTTCTCATTGCTGCTCGGGAGGGGTTCAAGATGACATTTGTCATCCTTGAATGGGGGTTGCTGAAATCTAAGTGCTGGCATTGGAGAGTTGGGGAACCTGAGGAGCAGCAGAAATCCTTTACAAACCTCCGGTCTCTTAGTCTGAGGCAGCCATCTCTCCTAGACTCCTCCCCTTGGTTTTCTTTTATTGGCTAGAGACCATGTAGAGCAGAGGAACTGAGCCTAGAGTGGTCTGGGGAGAAGGCAGTAGTAGTTAATACCTGTGTTTACAAATGGAAATGTGGCTGGGCACTGGCCCAGGAGACTAAGCACTGGGCTCCGATTTTGGCTCCCTACTCATATCCTAGACCTGGAACAGCACTCAGAACTTTGGCTTCCTTATCTACAAAGTGAATGGCTTAGTGGACATCTACTTGGTGGAAGGGCTAGAATTATTTGCCACTGGAGAGGGGAAAAGTTAATATAGTAAAGCCTTGTGACTCTTCTCATATAAGGATGGCTGCCAACCATTCTCTTCTGCATGGGTCCTTCTCCTTGATTCCAGAATGATTACAATTAGCCTACACAGAAAGAGTTCATTCGCTCTTTCTGGCCCTCGGAATTTCATTTGCAAAGTGAATTAACAATGCCTTTCTCGTTGTTATGATGACTAAAGAGGATGCACTTAGCTGTCGGCCATCATTCTTCTCTTTTGGAATGTTTTCTAAGCCAGGACAGCCTTGAATGGCATAGTGACAGTTCATGTATGGGCACCCTTTCTCAAATACTTCAGTTAATTTGTATCACATTTGAAAGGTACTACAAAAAAAAAAAAGGCAATAAGCATCCCTCTGTCCCCTACAGTGCCCAGCATGGCCTTTCACATAACAGACACTCAGCCAATGGTCACAGTTCCTCCATCAGTTAAAGGCCTCCCTCCTGGAAAGCATAGGGAAAGCACTGCTTCTCGGTCCTCTGTCCCAGACTTCCTTCCTGGTCTTTCCAGCTTCAGTTCCTCACTGGTATAATGGGAATAGGACTCTGCAGCTTTCAGGAGGGATGCAATTGTCAAATGATATCATTGTTAGATCTAAAGTACAGAGCCCAATGTCTGATGCACAGTAGGTTCTCAGTAAGTAACTATTTTTATGGGAGGCAGAGTCCCTTTGTCACCGAGTTCTTTTCTATGATTGAAAATTTTAATTCATCCTACAGACATCTGTTAGGAATGAATAATGACCTGGGCAGTGGCGATGCACACCTTTAATCCCAGCACTCTGGAGACAGAAGCAGGTGGATCTCTGTGTGTTTGAGGCCAGCCTGGTTTACTGAGCAAGTACCAGGACAGCCAGGGCTACACAGAGGAAAAAAAAGAATGACCAATGAATTCTCTAATTTAAATGACCCTCTCTGAAGAATAACTTCTTCAGACATATAACCAGTTCTATTGCTATAGAGCCTTACAATTCTAAGAGACGAGGTCAGTAAGAATAATATCCAGTTTGAATCATTTTTGCATGTTGTACAAATGAACCAATGTAATTGCCAGCGGGTACACACTATAGGCTTACTGTGTGGCAGGCTCGGTTCTAAGGGCCACCCAAGGATTATTCCAGGTACTGACCACAATGAGGAACTGAATGAGCCTCTGAATGAGGGACTGTAATTATCCCCTTTGCAGACACTGAGAAACAGAGAAATTAAGAAACGTCTCCAAGGCTACATAGTTACCCTTCGGCAAATTAAGCCAGAACCTGGACAATTTGGCTCTAGAGTTGCTTTCTTCGGTGTTAGACTGCCTCATCCTTTTTAGTGCCCCTGACAATTCTTAGGGAAGCAAGCTTTCTTGTATCATGGTTCTCCTGCTTAAATCTGCTGGTTTAATGACCTCTCCCGCTAAGCGTTTGGGTTGCCTGCGCTTCAGAGTGGTTCTGGCTTACCTTACATTTCTCGTCTCATTCGGGAGTTACTCGAGGAAGCCAATGTGCCCACAGCACTGAGGCCAGCGCTATCACTTGGGCATTTTAACAGCCTGGTACTCACTGATCACGTCATTTTGACACCAGCTTCCCAGAACATTTCGGTGCTGTTTCCCTTCCTGTGGTCAGCAGGACACGGTCCCTTGATGAAGTCCACTCTTTTAGAGAAGCTAGATGAACACCTAGATGTTCGATTTTTCAGAAGCGTCCCAAACTTGTCCAAACTAGCTTCTCAATTCAAATATCTGTGGATTTCACTAGGAGTCTCCAGATATTCCACTAAGAACTTCCCTACCCAGTGAGCATAGCCCTTTAGTCAAGATGAACCCCCAAAACATTTCCTTTAAGTTTTATTTTCAGGATGACATTTTGGTTATGGAACTAAGTAAGTCTTAGTCAGCACAGCTCCCCCCAATGTAACGTAGTCCCAGAAGAAAAAGACTTTTTTTTTTTTTTTTACTAGAATGACTGATCCTTTTGTGTTGATTTAAAGAGAAAATAGTTTCTTGATTCTTGACTTTACTTTCGCATTTTCTTTGGCGAACAGGGGAAAGGGGTAAGTTCACACTCTAATACACTGATGCTAACCCCCTCTATCTCTCACCTGAACTCCCCAGAGCCTCATTCATTCAGACACAAGAGCAGGAGGAAAGAGTCCATTGATGTGAAATCAATATCTTCCCGAGGCAGTGATGGTAAGAAATTTCTCAGATTTCCTTGACCTTTTGATAGTGTAGAAAATGACAGGGGGCATGCGCAAACATTTCAACGGCGTAGGAACTCCAAGGAGACAAGATTTCGACTGGAGTAGACTTTTCTTCCGATAAACTGAGAACATTTTAGGGCTTAAGTAAATAAATTCCCTTGGCCTTCTATAGTCTTTTTCTTCTCCCTGAAGGGACCATGGGCTGATTCTTTCACGGCCCAAAGTGTGTCAGACCACAAACTACACAGCAGTGCAGTTTCAGTTGCTAGGTAAGGTCATTCTTGGGTGCTGGTGGCAAGAGCTAGGCAGTGTCCTGGTTTCTTAGTCTAGTCTCAACACACACCCGTTAATGAAAGGCCGGAAACTTAATTAATTAATTAATGAAAGTCAGGATTTCATGAAACACTCTGTGAGTTTAACAAATCAAACCCAAATAACAGACTGGATCTGTGGGGGTGGAAAGGTCAGAATCAACATGTAAAGCCATTCCCGGAAGTCTGAAGACTAGGAGACACAGAAGTGCCAGGGTCTGCAGGGTCTCACATGGACCTGAGGGGAAGAGGATGTCTGGGAAGCTGCAGAGGAGGTCAAGGCCAGGCCAGGAGCAGGGGCTGGGACTGGGGCAGAGGCAGAGGCAAGGGCTGAGGCAGGAACTGGGACAGGGGCTGAGGTAGGGGCAGGGGCTAAAGCAGGAGCTGGGGCAAGAGCTGAGGCTGGGGCTAGGGCAGAGGCAAGAGCTGGCTGAGGCAGGGGCATGAACTAGGCCAAGGGCTGAGGTAGGGAGGGGTAGGAGTTGGGGCAGGAGCTGGAACAGGACTAAGGGCTGGGACAAGAGCTGGGGCTGGGGCAGGAGCTGGGGCAAGGGACTGGGACTGGGGCTAAAGCTGAGGCTGGGACAGGAGCAGGGGCTGAAGCAGGGGCAGGGGCTGGGGCAGTGGTGGGGAAAGGCCAGGAGCTAGGACAGGAGTTTGAGCTGGGGCTGGGGCAGGGGCAGAGGCGGGGTAGATGCTGTGGCTGGGGCAGGGGCTGGGGCGGGGCAAGGGCTGGGGTAGAGATGATGCTGTGTCTGGGGCAGGGGCTGTGGTTGTGGTAGGAGCAGGGACTTCTGGGGCTTCAGTTTCTGTGTTGAAGAGAAGCGTTGCCAGGGGCCAAGCACACAGGAGTGCTTGTGTGAGGATAAAGATCAGAGGATCTGAGTGCAAATCTGCAGGGGCACCCTATGAGAAACTGGGATGCGGAAGATGGACAGAGAAAACGTGGGAGTGGTATCCCAGGAGCTGAGAAGGAAAGAGAATGAGTAGAAGGGAGCTGCAGGATTGGCCCTTCGTATGTGTGTGTGCATGTGCGTGTGTGTGTGTGTGTGTGTGTGTGCATGTGTGTGTGTGTGTGCGTGTGTGTGTGTGTGTGTGTGTGTGTGTGTGTGTGTGTGTAACCAGGATCTTGCCCACATTAGGCAAGCTCTGTGCCACTGAACCACATTAGGGTTTTTTTTTTGTTTGTTGTTGTTGTTGTTTTCAATTTGGCCACGGGAAAAGCAGTTCTAAGGGCCTGAGAAGGAATAGTTATCACCTGTGATGGAGGTGGGGCGTATGGTTTAAAAGATACACAGAAAAGTCAAGGGAAGGAAGGGAACACGTCCCAGCTCTTTGGGTCCTAATGGAAGGACTGAGGCCAGAGAAGTGACTGAACTAGAAAAGATGAAGACCCTAAGGGCCAAGATAGAGAATCTGCAGAGCAGGACAGATGGGCGCGTGGCGTGCAAGTGACAGACTCTGCAGAGCAGGACAGAATCATGAGATAGGCTGAGAGCTTATTGGAGGGGACAATGGCTGAGGGCATCTGAACCAGGCTGGATCCTAAAGCAGCTATGTGGTCCCAAATACAGCAGAGGCCGGCAATGGCTGAACTCCCGGGTTCTGGAGCCCTACTGAGGGTGACTCTATCAGGTTCTCGCATCTCTGGAACAGGTCTGACCTCTAGGGCGCCCTGCAGGGAAGGTTAAAGGAGTGATGAAGATGGGCCTTTAAAGGAAGGCTTCTCCCCTCTGAATCTTAAAGCACATATAGGAACCACCTACTTGAAAAAAGAAGTCATTTTAAAATGAGTTTTCCCCAGTTAGAGTCAGAACCATTAGCATCATGAACCTAATGGCTGAGGAAGAAACACCACTGGCCAGGTCATACTGAGTTTCCTGGCACAGGGGCAGGTACACACTCAGGTGTCCGTGGCTTTGGAAGGAAAGGACCCAACTCTCTGAAAGAGGCCTTAGTGACTCTTTGGAAAGGGAGTCCTGTGACATCATTGGGTTATGGAGATGGGGTGTCTGTGTATAGCAGCCTTCTCAGTATTGTCCTGGGGAGTGCGATGTGCCAAGCCCTCTGCCGCCAGCCTTCCAGACAGAACACCTTCTGCACTTGTGGGGCTGAGTGGTCAGCCCTGTAGGGACAAGGGATAGTCAAACTCACTGAATTGTGAGGTAGGAAGTCCAAGAAGAACAAGACTTCATCAAGAGGTGACCTCTCAGCTGTATTTAGCCTAAACTACACCACTAACTCCATATAAAACTGCCCTGCCTTCTCTCCAGCTCCAAGCCTACAGAATCGCCGCTACCCCTCCATGGCGAGGATTCACTCCATGACCATAGAGGCCCCCATCACAAAGGTAAGTGTCAGCTACCACCTCCACTGCTCAGTCAGTGCTCAGACCTGGGCTGTGCTCTAGAGCTATAGTCTCCTGAGAGCAGAGCCGATGATCTAGTGGGAAAGCCAGGTATTAACCAAACACACAGTAAGTGTGGTTCCACAATGTAATCCGTGCTGTAAGGGCTCTGTGAGAGATGTCAGAGTCAAGGGAGTAGAGTTGGGGAGAAAGAAACAGATCAGAAAATGTCTAGGAGGAGAATCATTTGGACTTGGTGGGCTGAGGAATGAGGGAGACCTGTGTCAGACAGAGCAGGCCTTGGGTAGGAGAGCACTTGCCTTCAGGATGGGAAAACAGCTGGTCTCTCACAATGTTACCGTTTGCTTGGTTTGTGGGAAGGGGCTAAGTCTGGGCTCTGATTTTAGGCACAGGAGGTATTGTAGAGGGTGAATCTGGAAGGCTTTTGAGGCTCTCCCAGTCTGGGTGGGGCCTAGAAGGTAAATGTGAAAATCTCCTTATGGATTGTGTGCCCTGAGTCATGGAGGTGAAAGATCGTTTCTGGAATGACTAGACAGTGGGAGAGCCAGACCTGTGCCTTGGGAACTCCAACCCATGGAAAATTGTCAGCAAGGGATCCTTGGAAGCAGGGTCCTGAGTTGGGATGCCATGGGGCAGTGTGGGCTGCAGAGTGCACTTCATAGAGAGGGGCGGAGTGGGCCTGCCCTCTGAGCTAGGCATATGGTCACTGACTTCTTCTGAATACGTCTGACTTATGAGAATTAGTATGTTAATATCCTCACGTTTCTTCTTTCTCTTTTTGCTTTCTTAGGTTATAAATATAATCAATGCGGCTCAAGAAAACAGCCCGGTTACAGTAGCAGAAGCCTTGGATAGAGTTCTAGAAATTTTACGTACCACAGAACTGTACTCCCCTCAGCTGGGAACCAAAGATGAAGACCCTCACACCAGTGATCTTGTCGGAGGCCTGATGACTGTAAGTGCTAAGGAAATGCACCCAAAAATGCAGTGTTGGTCAAATACCCTAGAGGATCCACAGGGCACTGTGGCCTCAGGGAGCAGAAGCACCTCATGTAGAGGTGAGGCAGCTTGTTAATTCTTTATAGTCATGTCCAAGATGCTTGTCTGTCCACCAGATGACTAACCACAGCCATGGAAAGAAACTTGGGAAAACCTGTTAGAGTAGAAAACAGGCAGGTGACTGAAGGCTAAATATACCTAAGAGGGGCTATCTGGCTCCGGCTTCTTGTTCTTCTCTGTCTGAATTGGAGGACTGTGGTTGAAGGTTAGAGCTACATTTCCTTGGGCATTGGGCTCTATATCTACACTTATCCCTCTCAAATCCATGGGTTCTGTATCTTGTGAATTCAACCAACCCAACTGGAGAGGGAAAATAACACAAACATGAGCGAGAGACCCAGGAGGTAGACATGACGTACACACACACACACACACACACACACACACACACACACACCTGTTATCCCAGCAACCCAAGAAGCCAAGGCAGGATTGCAGATTTGAAGCCAGCCTGAGATGTACAGTAAGACTTTGGAAGGGAGGGAGGGAGGAAGACAGAGAGAGAGAAAGAAAATGGAAGGAGGAAGGAGGGGTACATTTATAGGAACACGTATATACATTTGCACTGTTGGATAGTATAAACAAGATTTTACACAGAACATTGTACATTTATTGTATACAGTTATGGGTCTGTCTTATAGAAGATATGCTCCCCTGGGTTTACTAAGACAGGCATGGTTCTGTAGATCAGGCCCTGTGAGGACTACAAGGAATGATTGTTTAATGAAAGAGCTTGTACCTTTCTAGTGTTTCCAGTGACAGAATCCTGTCTTTCAAGATGCTACAGCCAAGTTCCATTTTATTTTTGTGTTGGTTTTTCAAGAGAGGGTCTCTCTGTGTAGCATCCCTGGCTGTCCTGGAAGTCGCTCTGTAGACCAGGCTGGCCTTGAACTCACAGAGATCTGGAATTAAAGGCATACCAGCCCTGCTTGGCTCAAATTCCATTTCTAATCCTACAAAAGCAGAATAGTGCTCTCTGAGCTCAAAGCAGGGAGGTGGGAAGACCGTGCCTGCCAGTAATCTGAGACAGACTAGCTGTGGACCCACTGGCTAAGGTCTACCTCGCCCCAATGTTGTGCTCTTTCTGACTTTTAACATCACCTGCCCACCACTGAAGGAGAAAAGCCACCGTGCTCCTTTCTCAGAAGCTGAGGGGAGGACTCTCTAGGAAAGAAACATGACCCTGGGTTATCCCGGGCTCTGCCAATTCCTTTTTCTAGCTAGCCTTGAAAAACTGGGTTGCCAGCTGCCCAGCCCATCCTCACCCATCCTTTGAGCAGTCTTCTGTTCTTCCTGGTCCCCAGGCTGGTACTGGCTGACCTGTTCCAATGCAGCATCAGTTTCAGTCATGATAAGGGACAGTCCCTTTGGGGCTACAACCAAAGGACTCTGCATCCGAGAACAAGCTGCTCCCATCCTGCTACTTTGTGTCATTTTGTGCTTTCTATCCAGATAATGCTGAAAGGAGCCAGTGTGAGACTCCACCTCATTTGCATGAGACTTAGGGAAGTGGAGAAAAACAAGAGATGCACATTTGCTGCAGAGGCGGAACAATTGTGGCTGCGGTGTTCTTATCTGCTCATCTGTTGCTGAATATTAAGATTTCGGCACCACGATCCAAAGTGTGACTTCAAGGGAATCCTGCATTAATTCATGCTACTTTAAACTTTAGCACTTATTTTCTAGGGATAGCAAGCAATTCCAAAGAACTTTTGCAGGAAGATCTAAATAACGAGGGCTTCAGGCACAGAAGCAGAGGCAGAGAAAGATTCAAGAGCATCCAGGGACTGGTTCAACCTCAAGTGCCAGCAAATGTCAGGGCACGGAAATCCTGTCCCTTGTTCCTCTCATAGTCATGTTGTGGTCATGACCAGGACAAAAGCAGCTTAAAAAGAAGTATTTCTGCCTTCAGCTTCACACGTGTCAGTCCACCATGGTGTGCAGGAAGCAGAGTGAGCCGTGAAGGGGGCCAGGGTAAGACAGAGTCCCCGGGGACCCAGTGACTTGCCTCCTCCTCCCTACAGCCAGCCCCACTTTGCACAATTCTGCCCATCTCACAACAGTTTCTCTCGTTCCCATTCAAATTTCGAATCTGTCAGTGGACTGAACCACCTCTCAGGTCAGAGCCCTCGGCTCTGCCTAGCTCCAGGAAGCCCTCAAAGCCACACACACAGCTGTGTTTTACTAATAGCCCATAGCTCTCGATCCCCTCAAGTTGAGGGTCAAGATCACTGATCCCACTCTTCAAAACCTCAGCTCCAGAAACAACGTCTCTCAAGGACTAGCACAATGCCCATGCTCTACAGCAGAAAATGTAGTTAGAAAAAAAAAAAAGGCCCAGTGTTTAAAAAGACTTTCCAAGGCTTCCCCTCAAACATGGCTCTTGGTCTTTTCACGGTGTATACCCGAGGACATAAAATGTCTCGGTGCAGATTAAGGGACTTTAGACATGTCAAAATCACACAGATCCAAAACAAGATCACTTCTGCAACTCCGTTTGTGAGGCTTCACAATGCCAGGAGAGAACGTGGCCATGAGAACTGAGCCAGCTCACAGCTCAGATGTGAGTCCTGGGGCACTCATGACTGACTGCCTGTCCCTACCCCTCACCTCCTGGTACTTGTACTATGGAAAACAGACTATCCCGTTCCTTAGCCACTGCTGCAGTTTCATTTTGAGCTCTGCCTTGACCTAGACTTCAGCCTGGGCTGGTCAGGATTCAGCCTCCGGCTAAGGAACGAGTTTAACAGAATGGCGATGGGCGTGGAGGGTGCATCTAACAGCATCTCTCTCTCTTCCAGGATGGCTTGAGAAGACTGTCTGGGAATGAGTATGTGTTCACAAAGAGTAAGTGTTCCTGTGTCACTGCCTACTGATAACCCGGCTTCAGCCTGTGCCACCCCCAGGGTTGTGACGATTCCATCACCTTGGTGTTGCTCCCAATGGCTCTCATGAGTTTATTCCTCTCTATGGTCTACGTTTAAAGCAAGGCCTCCTGGTTAAAATGATTTCTCAGAGGATTGCTAGATAACGGGTGCCATTCATTCTCCATGTATTGAAATGGGCCTTAGAGTTATTTTTCTGTTTATGGCTTTGATATTTCATAATGTGAGAAGAGGCCCTGGTGTTAAGATCTCCCTATCGATGGAAGTTGGGGATTTTGTTCCTAGTGGCAACCCTAAAGTTGATGAGATGCCAAGGGCCCTGGAGAACCCGCACTTAACTTGCCCCCTCCACCCCTGTGTCTGCTCAGATGTGCACCAGAGTCACAGTCACCTTGCCATGCCCATCACCATCAACGATGTCCCCCCTAGTATCGCCCAGTTACTTGATAATGAGGAAAGCTGGGACTTCAATATCTTTGAATTGGAAGCCGTTACACATAAAAGGTATGTGGCATCTCTGGTGGAAGCCGGGAGGGAGGGAGGGACAGCCATGCTCAAGGTCTTCGTATCTAGAAACTTAGATGGAATTACGTGTCCCGAACATGCTCTTGTGTGGAGAGGCTGTATCTGTGTTAAGGGACAGGACATGTATTTCCTCACACCTACTTCCTTTGTGCCCATGAGCTGGGAGTTCAAAGTTTTCTCAGCCCTCTCTCTACCCTGTACAAATGGATTGGAAGTCAGGTTCAGTTATACACACGAGCAGTTTGAGAGACTGAGGCAAGAGGCTTATTTGAGCTCGGGGATTCAAAACTAGCCTCGGCAACAGAAATTTATATTCATATTCTTTTTCTTCCTCTCCCTCCCTCCCCTCCCATCCACCCACACATTCCGACATAACGGGGATTTGATAGCACGGTAGATTCTCTTTGAGCCCGTCCTGACAGCAGAGAGAGGAGCTTCTTTTGTCTTAGGAGAAGACATTTCTTCCTGGGATGTTGGTCTGTGGAATATGACTATAGAGTAACATAATTCTAAGCGAGGTTGCTGAAGCCATTCAAACCATTCCTTTAGCCCCCAGGCTCTTCTTAAGGGCATAAAGCTTATGCAAGACTCCTGTGGAAGTAGAGCTGAAAAGGGGCCCATAGAGGTTTTGTGACTTGCAGATGATCTAAAATAATACCTACATTGACTCGCATGAGTGCAAGGAAGGGGCTGGCAAAGCAATGCCAATGTTTGTGTGCCCCAAGCATGTTAAGCGATCACACACAAATCCCTTTGTTCACTAATGTCATGAAAGGAAGATCTTTCCGGGCCACTGAACTCAATGAACCGGTGTTTGTTTCCCGTTTTCAGGCCATTGGTGTACCTGGGCTTAAAGGTCTTCTCTCGGTTTGGAGTATGTGAATTTTTAAACTGTACTGAAACCACTCTTCGGGCCTGGCTGCAAGTGATTGAAGCCAACTACCACTCCTCCAACGCCTACCACAATTCCACCCATGCCGCCGATGTCCTCCACGCCACAGCTTTCTTCCTCGGAAAGGAAAGAGTGAAGGTAGACTCCAGACACCACAGTCTAGCTGTCTGCTGGGGTGGACACCTAAGAACTCAATCGTAGTAAATACATTAGACAAACAGCAATATTATATCCAATATGACAAGAAGGGTTTGGAGCTTTTTGGAGGGTAGGGTTTTGAAACTATTTTAGATTTAGACCTTTTTCCTAGCCCTCTACTCTAAAATGCTTAAATACTAACTGTGCTACTGACTTTCTGTGACTGATTCATGAACCCATTCTTAACTATTTACCAGCTCTGGGAAATGGGTTTGTGAGACAGATTTAGAGGACTTATGGTTAAGAATTTGACCATTATGTTACATTCCTAATGGGAACCACACAGCTTTGCCTTGACTGGTGTGCATTCTGGGAGGTATGGGTGTATCTATCTGTGACTTTTGCCTAATTGTGAGTCTCACATCCCTTAGTCTTATTCAGGGTTCAGTGCTGTTGTGACCCTACCCATGTCAAGTGAAGAGCTGGGAGGACCCATCACCCTCCCTTCTCAACTCCATCACTGGCACAGTGATGCTCTGATTGCTTTGCTGTGGTGCAAATTCGAGCTTAAAATTTAGAACTGGAGCCAGGCGGTGGTGGGACCCGCCTTTAATCCCAGCACTAGGGAGGCAGAGGCAGGCGGATCTCTGTGAGTTCCAGGCCAGCCTGGTCTACAAGAGCTAGTTCCAAGACAGGAACCAAAAGCTACAGAGAAACCCTGCCTCGAAAAAATTTTAAAAAAATTGGAACTGGGAGTGTCGCTCAGAGATACAGCAGAAAGCCCTGAATTTGATTCCTAGTGCTGCTGACTCCCACAAAGATGTTCTTAGAAGATATTTTGTTGAGACTGCATGAACATCAGTCTATGGAGAGTGCGGCTGGGTTATTCTCTTGGAACAGGGCTAGTAAGGGATTACAACCCTGGTACTTAAAAGAGAGTGGAAAAGGCAGAAGGAACAGATATGGGTAGAGGCTCCTTCTCAGATTTGCCAAAAAATGCATCCTGGCAATTTCACAATACTTCAAAGAATGCATTCCAAGAATAATGCGTTTGAAGATTGAGAGAAAGTGTTATGCCCGAAATCCAGATCCCTAGAACATCACCCTGAGACCGTATCTGGTGCAAAAACAGAGTCTTTATTGTGAGTTAACTCGGGCCCCTCCATCCATCTGAAGCAGTAGCAGCAATGATGAGAGGAGCAACAGGAACAGCATAGGGGAGACCCTCCCCAGTGGCAAAAAGAGGGGGTTATACAGGGGAAGAGGTTTGGGGAATTCCAAGCCTCTGGGCTTGTGATTGGTTACCTCGAGTGGAGTGAGGGGAATTCCAGATTTCCAGTCATGGGATTGGCTGCCCCCTATGATGTAAGGAGATTTCCAGGCCTGAGGGGGAATTCCAAGTCTCTAGGGGCTGAGTGATTGGTTCATTTTCCCTGCTCAGAGATTGGCTAGGTTTGTGTCAGGGGCAGAGATGGCTCTGATTATGGGGCTAAACTATTTCTTTCTTTGGTTCTTTTTACCTTTTTGACTCTAATTTTGGGACCAGGGAAAATATCTTTAATATGCTCCGAATCTAAGGTTTAGTGTGTTCTTTTGGTCTTGGTTTCAAGGTCCAGGGACTTTTCTCTGGTTCTAGGTTTGGGGACAAAATATTTCTTTTCCTGGCTCTGATCCCATTTTTAGGGTATGTCCCCCCCCACACCAGATTCTGAACCCAGAGCCAGGCTGCTTGGTGGTTGTGCTAGGGCCATGGACTCACTGAATCTGTGGGGGCCTGGGCCTCTCATCCTGCACTCTGGCAGTAACTTTAGAGGACCCAATCATGGGTCCTCACTGAGGGCCCCTGATGGAATGTAACTGAGACCATAGTACCATCAGCTGCACTGTCCTAATTTATTCCATGATGAAAACGAATTAGTAAGAATACAGGGTCCAAAAATAAATAGGAAGGGCCCTCGCAATGTGGATACTAAAGCAGTAAACCACAGAGAATCATTAAATAACCCTTTCCTAACTCTGGTTACTGATTTCTTCCCACCTTGCATTGCTAAAAATGATGTCCAGTCCCCTAGGCCTGCTAACCCATGGCTCTGGAGAATGTTTAATGTGAGGGTGGTTATAGGCTCCTTTTTTAAAAAAAAAAAATGGGTCGAACATCCATATAGACCCTGGTATCCAAAAATAAACCCCTTAACTAACTGCAGACAGGGCATGTCCAGGGATATGGCAACCTGATGGGGGAGCCAGTCGGTCCCAGGAACGCTCTAGCCTGCCTCCTGGTGGTTGGGAAAAGGGCAGCATTATCGTTTGAGTACTTCCTGCTGAATTGGGGCATTGAAGTTCTTGGGGCAGTCTTGATCTTTAACATCAAGACTTAACTTTTACATCCTCAGACCTTTATAACACTCTCTTGGTCTCCTCTTGAAAGTTGGACTCTTATTGCGACTAGGCTCAATTTCCCTGCCACATAGTGCTAGGTCTCACTTTTTCTCCATGACCCCTTCATAAAACATTTTCCATTACCCCAAATTACTTCCTTATACTTCTTACATGCCATAAAACACTTTCTTTCCCTGCCTTAGCTGCCAGTCATTTGCAGCCACGCTGGCATCCTTTTTCCTTTCTGCTGTTCTATAACACTTTCTCGGGCCCTCCAAACTTCCTTATGTGATGCTGTCTCAAAAATCTCTTAACTTTTACATCCTTGAACAACACTTTAACTTCTCACTTTAGCTGCCAGTACACCATGGCGCTCTTTGTGGTGGCCATCTTTGGGACAGTCCTTGACCCAGTGCCCTATCTCCCAGGAAAAGGCACATTGGTCCCTTTGAAACTTCAGTCTGTTGCTCTGTTCCTGGGCCAGGCAGCGGAGTTATTTCTCCCTGGATCCATAGCTGACACTGCCAGCAACATCCAAACCATGGTGCAAGTCTCTCTTTCATCTGCAGTCACTCTAGTTCTCTGATCCTCCTCTTTTTACTACCCTAACCTTCTCCTGCCTTTTCTTTCATCTTCAGGAGTCTCCCTACTTTTATACTTAGGCCACCTATCTTTTGGCAGCTTTTGCTAATATCTAGTGCTGCTCTATTAACAAAAGCTAGGGTCACTTCTGACCTGCGTTCAGTTGCCTCAGGGTCCATAGGGGAATATGACCTAAAGGCTTCCCTTAATCTCTCAAGATAGGCTGATGGTGACTCATTAACCTCCTGCCAAATGCTAAAGGTTTTAGCCACGTCAGTCGGGTGCTTAGCAGCCATCAGAAACCCCTCATTAGAACCTGGTGGTAAACTTTGCCTTCTGGCAAACACAAGTCCACAGCGGCAAGGGGCCAATACTGGTTTCTCTGATCATCACACAAGCCCATCATGCAAAGGGGCTATGGAGTCTGGTTCTTCCACAGGCGCAAGGGGGATTACGGATGGGCTCAGCCCCCGGCAGGTATTTGGGGGCATCAGGAGTCAGAAGACTTGGGATCTTTGGGGGTGTTTGTGGCATCCTCCAAGGCAGATGTTTTTGGTGATACCCCAGGTTGGTGGTAAGTTGTAGCTTTAGCCAAGATGGGGTCTGCCAGATCAGTAGGAAGCCTGTCCAGGATTAAAAGTGCCCACCTTGGGCCAGTTAGTCTAGTAGGATGGCCACTCCAGTTCACAGAGGCTCTGGAGTGGTTACACTCCCTGAAATCCTTAAGGTGGTCAAGGAAGAGGCTCAGGAGGTGGGAGGGTGACTAGGGATAAGGCCTATTATTTCAGGGTGTTCCAACCACAGGAACATGACAAATACAGGTGATGCGCACACAATCACAGATAACACAGGTGGCTGTGTACAAATTGGAAGTGAGATACCAGATTAATGCCCTGCAGTTGTGACCTTCTCAGTCTCTTTAGAGGAACTAGAGGAATCCAGTCCCCCTTGGCAGGGTCTTTTGTTCCACTAGCAAGATCCTGGGGCATTTTCTGGTCTCCTAGCCAGTGTTCTTCTAACATGCCTGCTTAGATCTTAACATTAAACATGACTAGGGATGCCCACACACTTACAGGCAGGACAAGCAAATGGCCGTATGTTTACCAGACAAAGTCACAGAAGGACAACAGACCAACACCAGACAGTGTACCAGTATAGCACACAAAAACAAAACAAAAAAACAAAAACAAAGTGATCCGGCTTGCAGTAGGCAAGCCCTGTTACCCAATCGAAGGTCTGGTTTGAGGTAGGCAAGCCCTGTCTAGCCGGAACAACCTGCTTCAAAGGAAACTCTCCTCACGTACACTTGTGGGGTGAGTGGAATTCCAGACTTCCAGGTTTGGGATTGGCTGCCACTATGGTGTAAGGGAAATTCTCAACTGCTAGTAAATGCCTAGGGGACAGCCAAGCCTCTAGGGGCTCAGTGATGGGCTCACTTTTCCTGCTCAGGGATTGGCTGGTTTTGTGTCAGGTGGAGATGGCTCTGATTCTGGGGTCAAATTGTTTCTTTCTTTGGTTCTTTTTGCCTTTCTGACTCTAATTTTGAGACCAGGGTGAATATATTTCGTATTCTGTGAATCTAGGGGCTTAGTGCATTCATTCTGGTTGCAGGGTCCAGAGACTTTTCTCTGACTTTAGGTTTAGGGACAAAGTGTCTCTGCCCCTGGCGCTGGTCCCATTTTCAGGTTGTGTTTCTTTCCCTGGTTCTGAATACAGAGCCAGGCTGCTTGGAGTTTGTGCTAGGGTCATGGACTCACTGAATCTGTGAAGGCCTGGGCCTCTCAAAAGGGAAAAAAGAAGGGAGGACGGGAGGGAGGGAGGGAGGGAGGGAGGGAGGGAGGGAAGGAAGGAGGAAAAGAAAGAAGGGAGAGGAAGGAAGGAAGGAAGGAAGGAAGGAAGGAAGGAAGGAGGGGGAAGGAAGAAAGGAAGGAAGAGGAGGAAGAAGAAGGCGGAGGAGGAGGAGGAGGAGGAAGAGAAGGAGAGGAGGGGAGGGAGGAGTGAGTGATCACAGTATCAGCCAGTGTCTGTAATAAACACCTCTGGAGCCACACCCCTCTGAATCCCTGCTGTGGGTTCTAACACTTGTGAGATGAGATGAGACACAGCTGAGGTTCCACCACCAGCTGAGCAGAGCACCTGGGTTATTAGCACCAAGTCTGGCCTGATCCTGCCGTAGGTGGAGTTGATGTGAAGGTGACCCTTCCTTAAGAGACCTTTTGGAAAATGGGGACAAGTGCCAGAGTCCCAGGTCTCAAATTCTCTAACAGCCCTAGAACAAAGGTTCGAACTCATTGCGACCTACTTACAATTCAGAAGGTGTCTCCTGGCTCCAGCAGCTCCTGCCAGGAGTTCAGAAAGTGCAGCTCAGCATGAACCTTGGAGACTTGGGCTGTTCAAGTTCAGGCTTGGCTAAGTTCAGCCCAAGTGCACTGGGCAGTCCACCAAGATGCACTTGCAGTGGGAGTCACTTCTGGGGGATCTTCCGTTAGACCTGCCCCTGATGACAGGAATCAGGAAAATTATATTCTTACCTCTTTTCTGAATCATTAGTCCCTCCAACTTCTTAGGGGTGATACAACTCAAATATGATCTATGAGTTCTGGGAATTGATGCTTCCTGCAGGCTAAGTGCATGCCTTACCACTCAGTTCCACCCCCCAATGCCAAAGTTAAATTTAATTTTTTTAAAACTTATTCTCTGAAAATTTCAAACAATATACTTTGATCATATTTTCCCCCTCCTCCAACTCCTCCAAGGTCCTCCCCCACCTCCCTATCCACTCAACTTTATGTTCTTTCTTAAAACAACACCAAAAACATGGAGTCCAATTTGTGTTGGCCACCGCTTCTGAGCAGTCAGCTGTCAGGTGTGTCCACTTCCCCACCTCCATGCTGGGACTATGTTTGGCTCCAGTCTGTGCAGGTTTTGCACAAGCTGTTACAGTCTCTGAGTACCTGCGTGCATTTACCTGTGTCTGGGAAACATTGTGTCCTTACCTTATCCACCACCTCTGACTCTGAAGACCTTTCTGCCTCCTCTTCAGCACAGAGCCCGGAGCCTTGAGGGGAGGCGTGTGATACAGACATTTCATTTATGGCTGAGTGCTCCAAAGGCCCCCATTCTCTGTACATTGTCCAGTTGTGAGTCTCTGTTAATTCCCATCTACTACAAGAAGCGGCTTCTCTTATGGGGGTTGGGTGTGATCGGTGGGCATAGCAATATGTCATTAGGAGTCATTTTGTTACTGCAGTCCTTTAGCAGAAAAATAGGCTTGCCTTCGGGATCTGTGACCTAACTGGGCTCAGGTTCTTGTTCTCATTAACAGTGTCAGGTCTGCATTCCATCTTATGGACTAGACCTTAAGTCCAATAAAAAAGTGTTTGGTTGTGTCCCCATCACGTGCCACTATTGCATCAGTGGACATATCTTGCCAGAAGGATCATTGTTGTAGTTCACAGCATTTCTAGTTGGGAGAGATGAATGAATACTTTTCTCCTAACTCCTAAATGAAACATGCACATCTACAAGCATAAAAGCTAGCTTCCACACATGAGAAGAAATATGCACTGCTTGGCTTTCTGGGTTATGCGTGTCCTTGTTTGTGAGGATCGGTTCTAGTTTCATCTGTTTCCCTGCAAATTTCACTTTTCTTAACAGCTAAATAATATTCTATTATGTAAATGTACCACATTTTTATAATTCATTGGCCAGCTGGTGGGCACCTAGGCCGTTTCTAATTTCTGGCTATTATGAATAGCACAGTGATGAACATTGGATGAGCACACATCTTTGTAGTTGGAAGAATCTTCGGGGTATGTGCCCAAGAGTGATATGGTTGGATCTTTTGATAGCTCTATTTTCAGCTTTTTGAGGAACCTCCACACTGATTTCCATACTGAATGTACAGGTTTGCACTTCTACCAGCAATAAATAAGTGTTCCCCTTTCCCCAGATCCTCACCAGCATAAGCTGTCATCTGTTTTGATCCTGGCCATTCTGATACTGTGATAAGATGTAATGTCAAAGTAGTTTTAATTTGCATTTCCCTAACAGCTAAGGATATTGAACGTGTAAGTTGTTTCTGAGCCATTCGTGCTTCCTGTTTTGATAATTTTGTTTAGCTCTGTCCTGCTTGGTTTTTGTCAACTTGACACATGCTATAGGAATTCCTACAGCCAATAGCCTTTAAGTTACCCGCCCAGTTGGGCGTGGAAGATCTTCTCATCCTTTGGTGTCTTCAGGTTCCTTCTTCAATGTCTTAGAGTTTTCATTAGACAAGTCTTTTACGTGGTTAGTGTTGTCTCACAGCATTTTGTTTTTCCCTTTTTGTAAAGGCATTGTTTCCTACGCTTCTTTCTCAGCGAGTTTGTCTTTGCATGCAGGAAGGCTACTGATTTTTATATGTTTTGTATCCAGCTACTGTGACCATTTTTATCATCTGCAGAAGTTGCTTGGCAGTTCTTAGGGTCTTTATGTATTACAACCATATCAGCTGCAAATAAAGATACTCCAGCATCTGCCTTATCTTTAGATTCCCCCACCTCCTGCAGCTGTCTTCGGCTCTAGCTAAGACTCCGAGCGCTATATTGAACAGAGAGAAAGCGGACATTCATGTCTTGCTCCTGATTTTTGTGGAAATGCTTTGAGTTTCTATCCATTTATAACGAAGTTAGCTGTGGGCTTGTCGTACATTGCCTTTATTTACTGAGATATGTCCCTCGTAGCCTGAATCTCTCCAGTACTTTTATTATGAAAAGGTGTTGGAGTCTGCCGAAGGCCTTTTCTGAATCTAATGAGATGCTCATGTGGTCTCTGTCCTTTAGTCTATTTTTGTAGTGAATTATGCTTATGCACTTACATATGTTGAGCTATCCCTGCATCTCCGGGATGCAGCTAACTTGATTGTGGTTGATAATCTTTTTAGTGAGCTCTTGGATGTGGTTCGCAATTATTTTATTGAGTTTTTTTGCATCTATGTTCATAAAAGATATTGGTCTATTATGTTTTTTTTTGTTGAGTCTTTGCATGGTTTAGGTATCCAGAGTAATGGAGGCTTTATAAAAGGAAGTGGGGAATGTTCTTTCAGTTTCTATTTTGCAGAATAATTTGAGGAGGGGTGGTGGTAGTGCCATGTCAGTCCCCAGAAGCCCACGGGTGATGCTCAGTGTTCCTCCCCATATCCCAGGGAAGCCTTGACCAGCTGGATGAGGTGGCTGCTCTCATTGCTGCGACGGTTCACGATGTAGACCACCCTGGAAGAACCAACTCCTTCCTGTGCAACGCAGGCAGCGACCTCGCCGTGCTTTACAATGACACCGCAGTCCTGGAGAGTCACCACACGGCCCTGGCCTTCCAGCTCACCGTCAAGGACACCAAGTGCAACATTTTCAAGAATATTGACAGGTGTGTTGTTGTTGGACGTCTGTGCTTAGGTTTGGGGAGCTAAAGGTGAAGCTACGTTTTCTCTGAAAACTCAGCTTCCTCGAAGATGGAAATGGAAGTATTAGTTATCCACTGCATAGGATCAGAAAATAGCTTTGCCTGTCTAACTTAATTATACTTTTCAGACTGCCTTTCATGTTTTAAAATCTGATTTTTTTTGTTTTCCTTAAGTCCATGAAAATAAGTGGGTTTTTTTTTTTGTTTGTTTGTTTGCTTTGTACTGCAAAGCACTACCCTAATATGGACAGGGTATTGACAAGTCTGCTATGTATTTTCACCTCCCACGAGGGCAGCCCATCTTTTCTGTGGCTCAAAGACAATGTATCATCCTGCATTTTCCAGCTGAGTTTGGGCCACTAAGACTCCTTCCTCATGACAAGGTCCCAGTGAAGATGCTGGGGCCCAGGTGGGCAAGTTTCCCCCTCACTGTGTGGTCTCCTCTGTAGAGCGCAACTCAAGTGTAATGGGTGGAACTCTGGCCTGCCAGCGATGCTGTGCCTACGTCCTGCACACATCAGCTGCTGGGCATAGTCCTGGGCAAAGGCTGGGTGGTCACCTGAGCCTCATGATGTTGTCTACATGACCTTATCTGCTTAGGCTCTAGAAAAAAACTAGAACATTATGGAGAATGGTTGTTCTAATTTGGACTTAAATTCGGTCACTATCAAGGACCTGTAGAGAAAGATTTCTTTTCAGGAGCTGGTTTGCTTAGATCCTCAGTCTGCCTCTTCAGGTTAGTGCGTGATAAGAATTCTCTGATAATCTTGTGCCGTTGCTCCAACCACTGCAACATCTATCAATTGCAAGTTCAAGAATTACGTAAAAGGAAGCATCCTCAATACCATCAGAGGAAAGAGGGGCAGGCAGTTCTCTGCAGTAGGGATTGGTCTGCACGGAATGCAGTCAGACACCTCATCAGGCTGCCACTTTGGCCTGTCCCGTCCTTCCACTTCCTTGTCTTCGTGTTTTCAAAGGAAGGGGCTGGAAGCACCTTTGGAACAACTGTCCACCACATGGCATGTACTTTTTCTTAACGTTCAAGTGAAGAAGAGTCAGTGGTCACTGGAGAACACAGAATAGCATCAACAACGATTTGGGCTTATCAGGCTGAACAGACAGGCCCTGGGATCAGTAGTCACTTGACTCTGCCCCAGCTATGTCCCAGGTTGTAGGGAGGCCCAGCTGCAAGGCAGTTCTGACTTAGGGCATGACGTGAACAAGGAACTTTTGTCTTTTTATTTAGGAACCATTACCGAACGCTACGCCAGGCTATTATCGACATGGTTTTGGCTACGGAGATGACGAAACACTTTGAACATGTGAACAAATTTGTGAACAGCATCAACAAGCCACTGGCAGCTGAGGTAAGCATTCCTATGGAATAAGACACAGCTGTGTGTTTCCACGAGCGCCTGCTCCGGCAGCCAAGCATCTTATCCTTGAATGTGAGGTGAGGATCAGCCTGGGGTTAGAAGCAGATGGCAAACCCAGCCACTTGTTTTTCTTGGGGATGAGACAGATTGACAGCTGTCTGCTGCAACTGCATGCTCCTTGAAAGGCTGGCCCTGACACAAAGGGACGGAAGGCGTTGGGCCCAGAGTGTATAACAGAAGGATCTTACAGATGAGCTGAGCATGAACAGTGGTGTGACAGGAGACCCACGTTCTCTCTGTTCTTGGACCTCTCAGGATTGCAAAGTTAGAGACTGTTTTACAGAACTATAATCTTACCGGTATCTGAGGACCATGATGAAACAGGTTTATCAGCTCTTTTCTGTCGCTCTGATAAAATATCCTGACAAAAAGCACGTTAGGGAAGAAAAAGTTTATTTGGCTTCTTGGACAGTCTCTCACTGAGGGACATTAAGACAGGAACCTGCAGGCAAAGATGCTTGCTCGTTCATGCAGTGTTTGACCAGGGAACTCACTCCCAGCCAAGGAAGTGTGGTAGACACCACAGAAGGAAGCTTACTGACTCATTCGGCAGTTCACCCCTAGCCAATTGTCTTACAGGATCAGAACCCTTGCTGGGGGATGGTGCCACCCACAGTAGGATGGTCTTCCCACAACCATTGCCCATCAAGACAGTCCCCCAGAAATGAGATATCAGCCAATGGGAACTGGGTGAACCATTACCAATCAAGGCAGTCTCCCAGAGATGAGCTATCAGCCAATAGGAACTGGGCAATCCTTCCGTTGAGATTTTCTTCTTGGAAGAACCCAGGCTGTGTCAAATTGACAGATAATCCAACTAGTACAGAAGTGTTTCCTCTTCCTGCTTCCCCTGCCCTCTTTCAAAAAAATAAAATGAAAACCAAGAGAGACAAACTGACAAGAAAAATCTGTAGGGAGGTGGGGAGGATCTAGAGAAGGGAAAGATAATCAAAATATAGTATATATTTTTTTTCTTAAATAAAAATTTTAAGAAGAGAGAAATTTACCATGAACCTGCTTTATGGGCCTGACAAATGTGGGCTTTAGAAACACAGATGTAATGTTCATTCCTTGCTAAGATAAAGTCAACTATCCTCAGAAGCCATAAAAGTTGTCCGTAGCTCTGCTAAAGCAGTTTCTAGTCTTGTGAAAAAGACCCTGGAAAAGGCAGAATAAACATTTTAAAGATTACTTGATGATTAATGAGGACACTGTCTGTAGAACCCGTCACCTAGGGAGAGGACCAGTGTCCGCCTCACCTGTGTTGAGCCCCATCTCTCACAGACTCCACCACACAATGCCAGGGCTTTCCTGCCAACCAAGGATAGCGGGGAACAAGCCTCGTGATGTGTAGAGCAGACCACGCTACAGGATGACAGAATTTAGATTCAGGAAGGTCCTCTCTCCGTGCCTCCAGCTCCATTTGAGATCTCCTCCCTGCACATCGTCTGTGGTAAAGGAGCCATCTCAAGGTGCTGGGAGAAAAGCTCCCAGAAGAGTGTCCTCATCAGGCATCCAATAAAGAGGACCAGCCTCGAAACAGAATCCCACTACACGTCCTGCTGTCTTTCAGCTTGGCAGAGCTCCGGAGAGCTGATTAACTGTGTCGTACAAACCGATGGCGCCTTTGGAACCAAATATTTTTCCCGGCGCTGTGCAACTAGCGTGCGAATGCATACATCTCCACCTACCTGCTTGCATGCCCCAGGGCTGCTGGCACTGCCCCACCAAGTACACACTACCTGGTGTACAATCATGTTTTCAGAGGCCCCTGAACACACATCCACATCGCGTTTTGGCCCAGTGTCTATGTTTCACACCTCACACTAATTATCTCTCAGGGAGAATCCGCCAAGAAAACACACAAATGTATACATGCCTTAAGGAGTGGGGGTGGGAAGGCAGTGAGGAGAAACAAGCAAAAACAAAAGAGTAATCGAAAAGTCACAGTTTTCCTACTTTTGATGCATTGAAGTAGCTGAAAGTTGCATTTTCAACACATTTCTGAGGAGTCGGAGGAGACCCTTTTTTTTTTTTTTTTTTTTTTTTGATTTTCGAGACAGGGTTTCTCTGTAGCTTTTTTGGTTCCTGTCCTGGAACTAGCTCTTGTAGACCAGGCTGGCCTCGAACTCACTGAGATCCACCTGCCTCTGCCTCCCGAATGCTGGGATTAAGTAGCAACCACAGCCATGCTCCTGGTGAGTTAGTTAGCCTCTGCAGCTTCAGCAGCCCTGATCTGACCATGTTTTCCAGAGCGAGGGCAGCGACTGTGAGTGCAACCCGACTGGGAAGAACTTCCCCGAGAACCAGATCCTGATCAAGCGCATGATGATCAAGTGTGCTGACGTGGCCAACCCGTGCCGCCCCTTGGACCTGTGCATCGAGTGGGCTGGGAGGATCTCTGAGGAGTATTTTGCACAGGTGTGCTGCTGTGTGAGAAGTGTCCCTTTCCTTCTAGGAACAGGCCCCAGGGCCACAGAACCCTGTGCGTGCCACAGCTAGTGAACGCCTCTTCTCTGGAAAGGACATACCTCAGCTCTGGCCAGAGCAGACTTGGGCTTCTCTGAAGAGACAGGTCAATGTACTAGTCACTGACCAAAGCCCTCTAATGTAAGGAAATTCTGTAATTGTTAGACCCTGAGCTTTTATAAGTTCACAGATATAGACGTAGGTAGAACATTGGATCTAAGGGGCAGGGGGCAGGGAGATGGCTCCGTGGGTAAGAGCACTTACTACACAACCATGAGGACTTAAGTTCGAATCTTAGCACCCAGGCCAAGAAGCAGGACATGGCCATGTGAGCATCTTTTACCCCAGCAGGTCAGAGGGAAGAGACAGGACCATTGGGGTTTGCTAGGCACCAGCCCAGCTCTAGAGCCAGAGAGATTTTGTCTCAAATGAAAAAGGTGGAAAAAATAATCGATAGAGCAGGGCCCCTGATATCCCTTTGTGCGTGTACACCAAAACACACAGGTACATATATGCCACACGCAATAATCACATGTATGCATGTAAGCATACATACACATACTAAAAACTACTCCTAAGGGTGTATCTGTGCTAGATTCTTCAGTGATTGACATTTTTTTCCTAAAGGAGAAAGAGGCTTTACACAGTGAGATTAGAGTTATATTTTTTGAAGGATTTAAAAATTAAAAACAGGACAAAAAAAGAAAACTCCAGAAGACAGTAAACTGCCAGATGGCTCTTGAAGTAGAGTCCTACTTCAAAGGAAAACTCTAAAGACTGGCGTCTGTATGTGTGTCGGAGCCGCATAGGGGTGGTGCGCTCTCTGGTTGGAATGTATTACTGAGGCAGGATCAAGAATAGCTGACATTGTACGGCAGGGCTGGTTGAGAAGGAGCCTCTGAACTGCAGAAAAATAGGACAGGCACTTCTGAGCTTACCCATGTTGGAGAGGGGTATGAGGGAGTAGAGAGGATGGGTATGGACCAATTACTCCAAGAATACCAGTGGATATTTTAAGGCTCCTTGATGAACTGAGTGAGCTGAGCCGAAAGTCATGAACAGGTTTCCTGGGACCCACGTGGAAAGAATTTGAAGCCTTACTCCTAGTTACTGACACTGGATGTTCCTCTTTTAAATTCTCTGACCAGCTTCCAACGTAGGTGTCCTTTTCTCTAGTATGACCTGGAAATCAGATTGTAAAGGAGGCCTGGGGTGAGCTCCAGGCATTATCAGGAGATGTGGATCTCACCGTTCAGCTTCAAGCACCCAGACAGGAGCACACACCACAATACGCGGCACACTCAGATTCCCAGGCACCTTGACAGCTGTGCGTTGACGCTCCTGGGGCAAAAGCGGCACATTCAGCTCTTTGCTCAACTTTGAAAGTCCTAGTCCTAGAGGCACCCAGGCTGTGGCTGCAGCACAAAGGCTTCCCGTGCTTGCCATCTCGCCAGGCAGAACAGTCAAAAGATGTATCCTGAATGGTTAAGATGCTCAAAGCAGGTCATTCTTATAGCTGCATGTGTCATTTTTTAAGGGAAGCCAGTTACAAACCCAAACCTGCAAGCATGCAGCCAGGACATCAGTGACCACTGTCCCTGCCTTGTGTCGTCCACCGCCTCCATTTCATGGGCCAGCAACAGTTTGACCTTTGCTGCAAATGTCAATTAGTGCTGGCTGAGTAGGAGTTCAGATCTGACTTTTCAGAACTAAAAACAGATTATAGAAAAGGGGCTAAATTCCACTAGATCAGTGCTTCTGGGAGCACAGTGTGCCATGAGGGCCAGTGTGACACAGCTCTCCGGAAAACACTCTCCTCACATTCCTTAGGTCTTGAGTTCAAGAGAGGAGAGAGGGGAAAGTGGAGGGACAGAGAGGAATCTGAGAGCAAGGAGACCCGAACACGGTCATGCAGGTCATCTCAGGAAATTGCTAAACTCTGCACCTTCGGGTTCTTCTGGGAAACACGCCATGACTATGAAGGCTTCCCATGTGCCCCACAGCCCTGTATTTTTGTTTATGTTTTCCCCCGTCACAGACCGATGAGGAGAAGAGGCAGGGGCTACCTGTAGTGATGCCAGTGTTCGACCGCAATACCTGCAGCATCCCCAAGTCCCAGATCTCCTTCATCGACTACTTCATAACAGACATGTTCGATGCTTGGGATGGTAAGTTAGGTGCTGTTTTGTCACCTACAAAGAACATTTTTGTTACACTTAATGAAGATGACCTTTAGGGGCATTGGCTGGGCCTAAAGATAAACAAAATATAAATATATATTTCATTTTTGTTATAAACAAAACTGTGAAAATGTTTTTAACATAAATACACACATCTGTGTGTGCGTGTGTGTGTGTGCGTGTGTGTGTGTGTATTCTGAGCCCTTTGCGAGCAGCTAGAGTAGGGGCATCCCAGCGTCCGACACAATCCTGAGTGCACAGACACAGTGAACGAGTGTTACCTGGACAAGTAAGTCTTCACTTTTTCACGTTTTAGAGGACAGCTTCCCAAAGCGCACAACTGTTTCATTCTCACACTGGAAGAAATCCCATTAAGTAAAATGTATTTCATTCTCTGTGAATTTCAGGTTCAAAAGAGTTACATAAAAAGCCTGTTTATTTCAGCAGCTCACTGGGGTGTCGCTCACAGCTCAGAGTGGAGGAGTGCTTGCCTACTGTACAAGGCCCTGGGTTCAACTCCTAGCACTACAAAACAAACAAATGATTTTTTTTTTTTTGAGACAGCGTTTCTCTGTGTAACAGTCCTAGCCTGTCCTGGAACTAGCTCTTGCAGACCAGGTTGGCCTCAAACTCACAGAGATCCACCTGCCTCTGCCTCCCAAATGCTGGGATTGAAGGAATATGCCATCACCGTCCAGCATAAATAAATAAATCAAAGAAAGAAAACTAGTGTTCTCATACATATGTTGACTTGCAGCCCAAGGCCTTGGGGATCTCTGTCCTCCTGTTCTTTTTGTGGGGTATACATGCAAACAGACATCAGAGTTCATCCTCAGGTGTTGTACCTCAGGAGCCAGCCGCTTTTTTTTTTTTTTTTTTTTTATACAGGGCTTCTCATTACCCTGGAACCTCCCAATTGGATTAGGCAGACTGGCTGACTGGCTAGTGAGCCCTAGGGATCTGCCTTTGTTACCTCCCCAAAGATGGGATTACAAGTGCATGCTACCATGGCCAGCTTTTTTATATGGTCTGTGGACTGTGCTCAGGTCCTCAAGATTGTATGTCAAGCAGGATACTATCTTCTCTACTTCTGCTCCCCAAGGCTAAGTCTAGTAAGTACTCCCAAGATCCAACTTAGTGTAATGGGTTTCTCTGGATTCTGTTCATGTCCCTGCAGCCTTTGCACACCTGCCAGCCCTGATGCAGCACTTGGCAGATAACTACAAACACTGGAAGACACTGGATGACCTCAAGTGCAAAAGTCTGAGACTTCCATCTGACAGCTAAAGCCAGGCCGGAGAAGGGGCCTCTTGATCTACGACGGACACTGTGAACCGCAGAGTCGTGTGAACAAGAGGCTTTTCTGTATGATGAGAACAGGTGTAGATTAAGGAGCTAGTGTTTAATAGCTGATCTGAGTCATGCACGCCCCCAAATTTCATTTTTCAGAAAGTTATATTCCATCAGTAAAAATATGTTCTTTTAAATCACTTAGTGACAAAACGAACCGCTTGGCAGTCTCCTCTGCCACGCTGTGCGTGCCCTTCCAAAACCATGGAGCTGACTCTCTGTAGTTACACGCAGGACACAGAAGCAGAGAACCTGGCGTCTGTGAGTCCACCCTGAGGGAGACCATGCCGCTTGGCCAGTGTCCGCCGGAACACTCACTACTGAGATTTAGCTGCACTACTTTCCTCGACGGCAGGAGTATGAAGGCTTCCTAAAAAGCTTCTCTGAGCAGATATATGTAAGAAAAGAAGCTACTCTAAGATGCGCAGAATGAGGATGAGATTATCGCTAGTTAGCATCACGGCTCCCAGACGACATGGCAGGTAGAGTGACCGCATGTGAAAACAGCCTTAGCCTGGTGAGTGTCCCTCCGATGGGCGTCAGCCGCTTGCGGAGCCCTCGTTCCTGGAAGGGACTCACCTTCTAGGAGGCCAACTGATGGGGAAGGAGCAGGAGCTTGCCTGAGTGTCCCCGGCTTCAGGCTCACGGACACACGTCAAGAGTATCTATAAAAGCTTGCCTGAGTGTCCCCGGCTTCAGGCTCACGGACACACGTCAAGAGTATCTATAAAAGCCATTAAATACAAATGCTCGTGAGCAAGCTTTAAAAAAAAAAACTTAAGAGAAGAAAAATTTATATATATATATTTGTTGTTCAAAGATTTTTATTAAAATAATCTAAACACCCTGGATCTTCGCCCCTAGAATTTTCTGGGCATTACCTGTACATCTGAATTTGGGGAGGAAATGGGAAAGTTTCAAGGTTCAGATATTCTTAATTTATATTTGAGATCATGCCATTTGCTTTACTGATGTAAAAAGGGATTGCGGGAAATGTAAATATATCGGAAGACAGGCGTCCGGAGAGGCAGTAAACACTATTTTAAGCTATTAATTGTATGTAAGGCTGAAAGCACAAGTGCATATTTTTATACGACTTTTCACAACCTTCTGTGCTCGGCATAAAGTCAGACTCGAGATTTTTCCTTTCTCTTTTTATCAGCAATCTCTTCTCTGTGTATTACGAATATCAGAAACTAAGTAAACGAAATACCTTAGTTTTATTTTATCTGTACCCCATGATGCATTTTTAAGAGGCATAGAAACCGAACTGGTTGAATCAGTAGCTACATTTTTCCCAAATGAAAATTGGACTGCAGGCTATGTAAAAACTCGGTTCATGGAGAAGAAAGAGATAACTTATCACTATGTAATGTGCCAATGTTTTTTTCTATGTTTTTGTACCAAAGTGTAAACATATATGACAATTCCATGCACAGAAAAGCATCTAAATTATTTTTGCTAGACGGCAGGAGGCCTTGATTCACCGGCGGGGACAGAGCTGGCTTTGTATTGTATTGCCGCATTGTGTACATGTGAGGAAGTGTTTTTGTCAAGTTCTTGTAACTAAATTCTTATGGTCATTTTTCATTCCCAACAGCTGTTTTTATTTTATCTCTTTGGCCTAAACTTTTCATAATTTCAAATTTGGGGTCCTAGTGTCTTTTATTTCCCGAGTCGTCAGTCTGTTTCCAGAATACTGAGGTCAGAGCACAGGATCTCCTTGGGCTTCGGAAGCTGGCTGGAGCAAGGACAGTCTTTCTCTGAGGAGCCTGCTTTCAGTTCCACTCGGCAGGGAACATTGGCCAGGCACCTGGCATCTATATGCAACATGACAGCTTGCTCAGTGATATGCCGTATCAACTTCATGCTAACCTCAAATGCTAGGAACATGTGGATGTTAAGTGCCCTGAGATATCGAGGTGCTAGAGTTTCAGTGTGATCTCCTCACTACCAGTGTAAATTACAGCCGTCTTCTGAGTTGCTAAGAGGCACATTCTTCCAATTTACTAGCATCATGGACTTGCAGGTAATGTTCCTGCATCTCAGATACGTATCGATGTGACACAGACAAACCACTGTCAGTGTCTCTCACTCGTGTTTACTGTGACGCCATGTGTGGTGAGGACATACATTAACACAGGAAAACATAAAGGTAAGGAAAGGCGTGTTAATACTATTATTAATTACTCTGCCGAAGAGGGAAGTTGGTTGTAAAATACTCTTACATGAACCAGAATGGTAACTGTTTCAGCCACTCCTCAGTTAGGGGTGGCTACCCTCCCCCGCAAAGAAAGATGGTATCAGTAAGTACACTTGGCATCCATCCAGCCTGTGAGCAACAGACAAGCCTGTGCTGCACAGATGCGCCTAGAGACCCAGCTCGAAGTATTTTAAGGGCGAGCAACAAGGCACACTGTACACACTGATCTGGTACAGACAGCTAGGGACTGAAGTACAGGAAACACGCACATAATATATACTGGCCTTAGCTCTAATTTTCTTCCTCTAAATTGCAAGTTCAAGTCCTAGGAATGGTCTACATGTAACTACCGAAGAGCAAAGGTGCTGACCCTTGCCATGGTCACCCTATAATGCTCGTCTCCCTGACCTCGGGACACTCACACCAGGTCTCCCCTAGGCTGGAGAACACTCTATTTGACCAGTTTCTCAGTGGTGGGAAACTGGACAAATGGAATGGAACAACAGCAATGCTTGATTCCAATCCTGTCTGCTCTTAAAACTCAAGCATGGCTGGGAGTAGTGGTGCACGCCTTTAATCCCAGCACTCGGGAGGCAGAGCAGGAGGATCTCTGTGAGTTCGAGGCCAGCTAGTTCCAGGACAGCCAGGGCTACACAGTGAAACCCTGTATCAAAAAAAACAAACAAACAAAAAAAAAACAAACCAAAACAAAAACAAAACAACACACACATAGGAGACAAAATTTAAAAAGAAAAAACTTAAGGATGACTTCAGCCACTCAATTTGAGTAGATTTCCACCACAAAACAGGAATCCAAATCAGGTTAGGAAACAGGTATAAAAAACAAAACAGAAAAGCAACAAAAACCACATGAATTCTTTGTCTTTTATCATTTAAGAAGACATCCTTACTAGCTAATGGCCTAGTACAAAATTTGCAAAGGAAAAACTCTCTAGTAAAAGGGGGAAGTCCATCTACAGAGCAAAATTCAAAGCTTTAAGTAAGTCTAAAATAAATTAGCCCAAGTGACCAGTGAGCTGATGCATAGAGCAGATGGCTCGTCTCCCTGGCTGACGGCGCTGCTCATAGCTCATCCTCAGGAAGAATGGCGAGAAAGCTGCCTCCTGTGTTGACTCCTCAAATAACAATGGTGTGCTGGCTAAAAGACACTGTCTTTTTTCTCATTCGCAAATATTATTCTTTCCAACAAAGCTATTTTCATTGTGAACTACAACAGCAGCAAGGACTGTAAATGCTGATTTTCCTGGCATGGTCACCATGAAGTCCTCTCAGCCTCCCTCCCTCTCCTCGCCTGTTATTGTAGGAGGTGTGGGTTGTGTCCCGCCGCCCGGCCTGCTTAACCCCCAAAATAACCACACAGAAATTGTATTAATTAAATTACTGCCTGGCCCATTATATCTAGCCTCTTTTGGCCAACTCTCACATCCTGATCTAACCCATTTCTACCAATCTGTGTAACCCACAAGGTCGTGGCTTACCAGGAAAGATTCTAACCAGTGTCAGTCTCAGGCAGGAGCTTCATGGCTTCTTGGCTCTATCTGCTGCTTTCTTTCTCCCAGAATACAGTTTTGTCTTCTCCGCCTATCTAAGTTCTGCCCTATCAGGCCAAGCAGTTTCTTTATTGATTAACCAATGAAAGCGACACAAATACAGAAGGACCTCCTACACCAACCTGTCTGTTTTTATGGGTGTTCAGTGATAACAACGGGTGCTGGAGAACAAGCTAGCCTCCACAGGCCTTGGTTTCCTCATTCCTAACATTTGCCACTGATCTACCTACCATCCTAATGCTACCAATCTTCGTAGGCAGCGGTGAAAGCTGAAACCAGTGGAAACAAGAATTTATAGCATCCATCCAGGGATCATAGTACACACATGTGCACACACAAGTACGTAGGCATTCTCCTGGAGAAGGATCAGGTGCCTAACATCCTACATCCTGTCTGTCTTGAATAAGATTCCCTAATCAACAAGAGTAATCCCCACTACAGTACAGAAGACATCTTATGTTTCAGTGCCAAAAGCGAGAATAGTGCCATAGGCGGGAGGGCAACGGAGATGGTCCAGTCCTAGTGGATCTTCAAAGACCCAAACGGTGGGTCTGTCCTCGAACATTTCATGTTAACGCAAAGGAAAGCAGATGGTTAGGGCAATTTAGCTGCAGTTTCTGACCTCAGAAAAGCGCTGTGTCTTTCCTAACCCTGGACTCATCAGAGAAACACCCGAGAACTATTCTGGCCAGTAACTGTCCAAGCCGGTTCACACTGAGAAAGAAATGTACCCTGTGGACCGGAGCACAGTGGGATTTTAGTAGGGACAATGGGATCTTTTTTCAGTGACTTAAAGTAGTACCAAAAAGAAGTGATGTACTTAAAGAAAATAATTCTTTTTTGACTAATACTCAAATTTAGTTTTAGTGAACACTGATAGCTCCTAGAGAGTAGGAGAATTAGCAGAACAGATAGATCTATCCCGACAACTCCCAAACAGTCTTTGAAGGAACCCTAAATAGATTAAAGAATGGGACAGCTTTACAGTTCCCTTTCCCCCCATCACTTTACAAAGCAAAACAAAACACAGCACCCACTATGCCACGGAAGCAAGGTCCAGCAGAACCTGTGCTGTGTCCTTAGGTGGACACACTTGCTCCTGACAGACAGACAGAACTTCATAGGCAAGAAGAACATTACAAATCTAAGTGATCAGTGTGTAGCGGCTTTCAGAGTTCCGCTCTTCATTCGATGGTCAAGGCTCATGTATCTGTGCAATCCTTCAACTAGACAGCCGGGTGTAGGTCACCATCCTCTTCTAGCTTCTGAAATAACTTTATACTTCGGAGTCCAGATTCTCGCTCTCCATTTTTCCACAGAATAATGAGATGATCTGCAGAGCATGTCACTAGTCCATGATCTTCAAAGTATAAAAACATCTGTAAAATAAATTGAAACACTAGTTCAAGACCATCAAGAAGAGGCTAACGCTAGATCACTGTGTGTGCTAACAGACGAGGAGGTCTCTCTGGATTTGAATGCAGAGTCTCTAATGAGTGGCTCTCTTATTTCAGTGTTGGTGAGCCAAGCCAGGCTCTCCTGTGGCTGTTCTACCACTGAGCCCCTAAGCTTTGCCAGGGCTCACTTGTGCAGTCTGGACTAGCTTGAAGCCTACAACCTCCTGCTCTGTTAGCCTCCTGAGTGCTAGAATTACAGGCATATGCCACCTAGCCTCGGGAAACTTTTTCTTTTCAAAACCTGTCAGTACAGCCTGTATCTAACATTTTAATGGATTTTGTTGATCAACTACAGAACAACAGTAACAGCGATTTCTCAAGGTATCTTCTGGGTTTACCAAAATTAATTATTCACATATGGGCTTTAGTTTGATTCTGTCAGGTCTGGGTCCCCTCACACTTGCATTATTTACTAGTATGGCTACTAATGAAATTGCCTGAGATAAACACTGACTTCAGCGATCTCTGTAAAGCAGAGGTGATGTGTCAGCACACAGCATTTACTGAGAGACTTCAGTTTAAAAGCCAGGGCCAGCTGCAAGAACTGGGGTACTAATGCTTGAAAGCCGGGACAGTTGTAACAACTGGGTGCCAATGCTTGAAAGCCAGAGCAGCTGTAACAACTGGGTACCAATGCTTGAAAGCCAGGCCAGCTGTAACAACTGGGTACCAGTGCTTGAAAGCCAGAGCCAGCTGCAAGAACTGGGTACCAGTGCTTGAAAGCCAGAGCCAGCTGTAACAACTGGGTACCAATGCTTGAAAGCCAGAGCCAGCTATAACAACTGGGTACCAGTGCTTGAAAGCCAGAGCCAGCTGCAAGAACTGGGTACCAGTGCTTGAAAGCCAGAGCCAGCTGTAACAACTGGGTACCAATGCTTGAAAGCCGGGCCAGCTGTAACAACTGGGATACTGATGAGAGATTCTAATCAGTTCTGCCCTGTAGCATGCATGTCACCGAAACTCAGAAGAGTGGAGATGCAGCAGTAACTGGGGAAAGGATGTGCTAGAGAAGGAAGAGCATGGAGGCCAGTGCAGATCCAATAAAGCAGGATGCTGTGGATGGAGAGACGTGGGGCTAGAGAGACAACTAGGACTAAACTAGGGCAAGGCCCTTTAGGACCCAGTGTAAGAAGGGATGAGCCGAACAAAAGTCAGGGACAAGAGAGTAGGGTCAAAGGTCGGGACTTACTGATGACTACCGAGCAGAAGGGAGAAATATAGGAGCAAACTTTCTCAGGAGCCGGGGTCCTCAGGGCATGCGCAGAGGGTGAGAGCACAAAAGCCCTGAGGATATTCAGGAGGCAGCACCTGCTAGCAACAGGGTCTGAACTTGCCAATGAAGTCAGAAGAGCTTTTTAAAAATGCAGGATGGGGGGTAGCTTGGTGACAGGTACTTGCCATGCGTGTAGAGTATGGAAAGCCTTGGGGGCAGCAAGGAGGTGAAAGTGCGAATGCTTTCAAGGACTTCCTAACCCTCTCACTTACCTAATGACAAACGCACCATTTCTAAGGTCTCCTCTATCCTTAAAACTTTTAAGTGTGTGTGTGTGGCAGGAGGAGCTGAAGAGTGGCTCAGCTGTTAAGTGCACTGACTGCTCTTCCAGAAGGCGTGGGTTCGATTCCCAGAACCTACATGATACCTCACAACCAGCTGTAATTCAGTCCCTGGGGATCCCAACACCCTCTTCTTGCCTTCTTGGGCACTGCAGGCAAACACCCATAAAACATTCTTAGTATGTTCAATGAGTCCCCAATATTTTAAAAATAAAGCCCAAACTCCTTGGCCTTACTTCTTTCGGCTTTTCTTTGATTGGTGTTGGTGGAAACCCAATTATTCCACCCAACCAATCTGCCACAGCCAACACACTGTCTCTGCCTGTGGTCTACCACATGGATGCTCACCATCTGTAACCTGCACCACAGCCACCCGAGCCAAAACGAAGCCAAAACAAAGCCCTGAGCTACTTCTTAAAGGACAGCGAAGATGAGCAAGGTACAGCACCCAACAAGAGAGGTGGCACAGGGCCTTGGCTGTGTACCTTTTAGTCCAACCTAGCCTCTGAGGTGTTGCGGGAGAATTATCTGTATTCTGTCAAGCATGTATTTTAATAAAACACTGATTGGCCAGGCAGGAAGTATAGGCGGGTCAACCAGACAGGAAGTAGAGGCAGGGCAATGAGAACAGGAGAATTCTGGGAAGGAGGAAGCGCATTCCCCAGTCCAGCCCAGACCACCGAAGAGGAAACACGTGACCTGCCCGGCTGAGAAAGGTACTGAGCCCTGTGGCTAGCACAGATAAGAATACTGGGTTAATATAAGCTACAAGAGCTAATAAGAAGACTGATCTAATGGGTCAATCAGTTTTATCACTTACGGAGATCTCTGTGTGATTTTCTTGGGGCTTGCCAGCTGTGGGGTTGGGGTACTAGCCGGGATAAAAATCCCAACGAGCAGGCCCCTCATGCTACACTGAGGCTCATCTCAAATCCTCTGTCTCTAGAAAATTCTATAGAATACACCAAGAAGTGTTCCTTTTAACTCCCTAGCTGCTTTTTACCAGGGTCAGCCGAAGTAATCTTGATTAGCAGCTCACTGGGTCTTTTTCCTTCCTCTCTACTGAAGTATCAGATCCAT